AACCAAGTGCTTTTGTTGCCTAAGCTCAACTAAGGCATCCCAGGACAATAACAACAGATGCAGGAAGAAAAGAAGAAGTGCATCATGTGTAGACATGAAAGTCCAAAGACAAAGTGGCGATGTTTATTGGGTTGGGTTGGGTTAAGAACGTATTAATAATTACCTGAAAATGACAATCTTGTTTTTGTTACCTTAGAATGAGCTGTTGATATTTACATAGGTCATCGTTTTTGGAGATCATCATGTTGCACCACTGTTTGTACAGTAGCCCAGAACAGGCAAACCAAACAATGGCTCCAGATGGAGCCATTTGCGTTTTTGTGTATTCGCATCGGCCACAGTAGTTAGCAGCCCCTCAGTGACAAGCAGTGTGGAAAGCATACTGATTTTTGTAATGTGAAACTGTTTTATTCTGTGTTTTCACCAGTTTTAATCACCAGGTCCATTTGTTTTGGAGAGGAAGAGACCTCTGTGGATAACTCGGTTCCTAACGTCTGGATTTTAAATTATCAGAGAAAAAGGTAAGAACACATGTGATGCAGGTGATAGACAAGCAGCCCATCTCTGATGGGGTGAGGAGTGTAGCAGAAACACTGATTTGTAATGTGAAACTGCCTTATTCAGTGTTTTTACTGGCTGTTATCACCTGGTCTGTTTGTTTAGGAGAGGAGGAGACCACTGTGGTTAATCCAGCTCCAGGCAAAAACCTCCTGAACGTCTGGATCTTAAGTTATTAGAGGAATAAAGGTGAGCACACATTAGCAGGTGCTGGGCTTGTGTCCTCCCTCTGATGAGCCTGAACAGGGTGGGAGAAACACTGATTTGTAAGATGAAACTGCTCTATTAGGTGTTTTTACCAACTTTAATCATCTGGTCCATTTGTTTTGGGGAGGAAGAGACCTCTGTGGATAACTCCTGGTAAAAAACCTCCGAAGCAATTTGTGGTGGGATTTTCAAAGGTAGCCATATTTCTTCAACATGTTATATATATATATCAGAAGTCTTACTGAACTGATTTGTGTAATTTGATATAAAAAATAAATCTAATAAAAGTCAAATCATTTTTCAAAAACATGCATTACAAAATGTCTAAAACCATGCTTAACGAAATGGTTGAATTGTCCTTTTATGGTAAAAGTAGTGATGCTGATATAATAAATGTAGAATTTATTCTACTATTCTATTTATTTATTTATTTATTATTTATTAAGCAAAAAAGGATGAATACTCACTGTTGTTACTGCCATATATTCAATGTCATGCCATTATATATTTTCTGAAAAAAATTATATGATGACAAAGTATTGGAAATAGTGGAAATAATACTTGCACTGGTAAGACTACTAATCCCATGTTAACAAATTCATATATGTTGGTATACTAACATGTTACAAGCATTTTAATATTTTTCATATTTTTTTAATAACTTTATTATTGACATGAAGTGACCTCTTAACTGTTTGATAGAGGCCTTTATAAAACAAAAACTACTGGGTCTGTTAACAATAAAGTATTTGATTTTTGTTGTTGTTGTCCCAAGGAAATAAAAAATGCAAAGACAAAAAATATCAATAGCTCTTTTCTTAGTGTGGACATTTTTAAAAGGATATACAGGTGTCTCATTCATATTAACAAGGCCCTTTTGTGAAAAAAAAATAAAATGAAAAAGAAATAGACAAAGGTACTATACCTGTAGCATCACACCCAAACCTACTCAGAGACTTGGTAACCCAGTCCTGACCACCAGATGCCTAAGTATTTTCCACAAGAGTTGGCCGACCTAGTCCAGAATGTTGCATCCTGTATACAGCCAAAACTCCACACATTCCTCTTTTCCACCAAATTAGCTCCGGTTCTTGAACTGGTTTTTGTCAAGGTTCTTGGAACTTTGATGTGTTCCAGTAGGCTGGTGGATATGACCAAAATATCATATCACGATATAGGTCATTTCATATCCTGATAACGATACATATAACGATATAGCACATTTTAATCCGATGAATAAAAAGTCCCCCCCCACCGGCAGAAATGTGCCTCTGTGTGTGCTTTTACGTAGCATGCAGGTGTTCCGGATTCAGAGGTGTGACAGGGATCAGACTGATCAGAGCTTTAAACTCTGCCATGAGGGAGTGCAAAAACGTTACTAGGACGAGGGGAGGACATTTCTCCTCGTTTTATAACATTACGATGAGTCGGGCAACCGAGACGAGAGAAAAAGCGAGCGAACAGCTGTGGAGTGAAGAGAGGGAGGGCTGGTAGCGAGAAAGCTGGTGAATCAGATCAATAAAACATTATTTTGTGATTGTTTCACAGTGGTTATGTTCTAAAGCACAAACACGCCCACACCCCCATACACCTCCGCTCAACACTGAGGCTGTACTCCGCACCACCTGATTTGATCTGAATATTGTCACCGTCTCGCTGCTTGTCTGCTCTTTCTCAGCGCTGCAGGGCTGAGTGTGAGCAGCGCAGCAAAGACAGACAGCGGAGTTATATAAACTCCAGCAAACCAGCCCTTGTTTCAACCTGGTCTCACTCTGAAGCTGTCAAATACCGGCGCTTGGTCAGTGACTTCCTGCATCAGACTCCAATGAAAAAAGTCATCTTTTCACGACAAGGCAGGAAGACAATGCAAGTTAAGGGGGCGGAGGTCCGAGTAGGATGGTTGGCAGGGTGGTGGATGGGACCAAAAGCCACTGACTTTCACTGAGGAGGCAATGTTCACTTCACATAAGATAGTAAACGTAAACCCTGTTCTTTTTTTCTGAATCCAACCAGGTGCATGTGTTGACCAAGCATAACCACTTCCGTTTGTTGTTTAAGAAGGAAAACGTCAATTCGCAGTTTTGTACCAACATAGTGCGTTTATTTTGAAAGAGACAAACTGTATGCAAACTGTACATTTCCTGTGAAAACTGAAGTGTATTTTAAAAACAGACAACACATGTAACAGGCTGAAGCTGACACGGCATCCCAGGATGTCGACAACCAATGAACCCAGGATACCTTGCATGTCATATATCGATGTGGTTCCATAACCAAATGTCAATATGTGACGAAGTCAGAGTGAGAATGTTGTGTGTTTCCACCAGTTTTGATCAGAACCATTGCAATCAAGGATGAGTCCTCGATAGAGGACATTGCACACAACTGAAATAACTGTAGTGGCAAGATGGCGGATGGAATTAATTACCTAACTTTTCTTTTTTTAAAAACAGATATTTGTTTTATCCCAAAACAAGCATGGACCACCTACTAAGTGAATGCTGTTTTTTTCCACTGATTTGTCACTTAATGTCTCTTTTGTTGCCTTCTCCATTCTGTCTTTCCAACCTGTAGAATATGACACACCCACTGATGTCGTCAAAGTTGGCACTTGCTATACTGCTATTTTTTGGTTCCAGCTGGGAGCTAACTTTTCAGGCTATTTATTAAAAAAAAAAAAAATCCAAAAATGCTCCAAACGGTTCAAAATTAGGTGCAATTGAAACTGGTTCCATGTAGGTGGAAAAGGGGCAACAAATGAGTTTGGCCTTAATTTCAGAAGACCTGAAAGAAGTGCTCATCAAAACTGAACCACTTTGTAATCTTTACATAGAAAATACAACTTAAGACAAGAACTACACAAGGCAAGTTGAACAAATTCATTAGGACCTAATAATACTCATCTACAGAAATTGTTGGTACAAAAACTCCAACCCATAATTATACCTTTATTAATCCATCATTATCACCAAAATCTGACAAGTTTGGTCTTATTAGGTTTTGTCTGGGACTTTAGTTCAGAATGTGCGGCATGTCAAACTTTTAAGATTAATTGTGTTGTTTTTTTTATTATTGAAAATTAGTACCATACATTAGTAGTGAGGGGTTCGGATATGGGAGGATGGGGAAAAAGGGAGGAGTAATTTGAAGACAAAAGAGAAGGAAGTCTAGAGTAATAAAGAGGAAAACAAAGGCCACTGTTTTAATTAAGTAAATGAAGAGGAAAAAAATGTCGTAATTAATGAAGGCTTTTAGCTAGCAGCTGCACTAGGGGAGGAAGGGAGGAGTTTGGGGGACACATGGGGGAGGTGGTAGGGCTTTCGATTTTCATCACCACAAGCACGTCAGCACTCAGCATCAACCCTCCTTTCATCTGTACAAGATGCTGCACCAAGTAGAAGCTCTGGCTGCAGCCAGTTTGCTACCAAGAACTTTAATTCTCCCTCTCCTTCTCTTACTTTTCTTTCTTTTGTGGTCTGTCTTTCTCTACTACTTTAATCTCCCATGACACGTCGAAGCATTTACAAGATGGTCATTAATCTTTGGAGGAAGTCCCTACCCACACCCACGAAAGAAAACAAATTGTACTTTCACTTTCTCCCCCATCTTCTGGGGTGCTCTATTTCTTTCTTTAGAAAGATTTTTTTTCATCTTTGATGTTAGCTGCAAAGCTAGCTAAAAACAAACATTAACCATTCGACTATCTCCCCTTGCAAAATTTGGAGAGACTGTTTTCTGTCAGGGGGAATTCTCAGTCTCGATTGAATTTCAAGCAAGTAGCTTTTGGCCAATGAAATTGAAAAGGGAGTTTGAAAATAAGGCAATGTCCTTTTTTCATTTACTGAAGTGGCAAAGATTCACATTAAACATTAAAATGGGTCTCTTAGCGGGAAACACAACTCATAGGATCACCAAGTGGAGGAAAATAGACTCTTTTGTTGAAGATCTTCCAAAAGATTATTCACAAAGCATGTCAGTAAATTATGTTATTTAAGTTAGTCATTTACAGATAGTAGTTCAGTCAATTAAGCAGTTGATATGAATAGTTCAGTACACTCTTTCTGGTGTAAAATGAGTCTCTTGTGAAGTTAAACATCCATGTGTATGGGTGCTATGTCATACAGTGTGTTATTAAAGACAACAGTATTGCACCAGCCCCAGTTCATCATGATCCCACATACAGTCAGGCACAATATTCAGACAGTCAGCAGCTATGAAATAGAGAACAGACTCACCATAGTGCCCACACTGTATGTGGCTGCAGGACCAATCGTATGGTGATATGGGTCTGCTGTTGCATAGACTCTGCCATAACTATAGAGGAGAAAACAGGCAGATGTTTACGATGACAATGTAGTAGCTTCTTCAAGATGTTAGACAGACAAATGTAGCTACTGTAAACACAATCTGTCAGTGCCTGCATTTATCAAGCATGACAGTATCCCTCCAGAGAAATTACGCAGAATGTTTGACTACAATATAGGTTATTCCTAAGGGCCCTGATACACCATGCTGACAGGTGGTCATTGGTCAATGTTGGGCCACTGTTGTGTGTCTGTCACCCTAGTTTCGGCCCTTGTCGCCTGTTCTTTTGGGCGATTCAGCATGTTGAATTGGGATTGGAGATGGCAGAGCAAGAGAAATCACTCTGATTGGGTAGTTCAGCTCAGTGCACATGAACAGAAACAGAAATAAATTAAGTAAACTAATAGCTAAAGGCTAGCGGGCATGAGATTATAATAAACTTGTTAGGCTAGGTAAGAGGTAAGGTTAAGAGGTGATGTAAGATTGTATTTTTTAAGTCATTAAACTCTGGCAGAAACAGTATGTAATTCTTTGTGTTATTGTTTGCTGGTGCACTGTGAATATTTTGTTCTTTTAACACTGGGTTGTGCTTTGAATGTGCTAACTGGCTTATTAGCATCTTGAATCCATCCTGCTGGTCTTCAGGTTTTCCTTTTTAGGTGAGGATTTCAGACTACTGCTGTCTACTGGTGTGGAGTTATTTCCTCTGACACAAGTGCGGAATGTAGGGGCTGATTGGCTGCCGGCTGTAGTCTTTAGCAGTGTGTTCAAGCACAACTTTTTGGCTGAGACACAGGTGGTGTGAGGCGACGCAACAGTTGCCATTAGTTCTTTGATGTCGGTTTGGTGTCTCTGGGCCCTAACTCAGATCAGGACCTGAGTTAAACACTGAATATACCTTGACAATGACACTAATTAAGCAATGGTTTGCACTAGGGATGCACAATAGTATCGGCATGTCATCAGTGTCTGCTGATATTGGTTTTAAAATGAATCGGCCGACATGCTTTTTCTTATTTTGCACAATAAATAAATATTACATATACATCGAAAAACATTCTATTTTATGTCTCCATCTGCTGGTGGGCCATCACAATAAGAGTGTGCATGCATGATATGATGTTAATTCCTCTACAGAAGAGACCTGATGAACACTTAAATTAGGTATACTGATATTGGTATTGGTTATCAGCCAAATGAGTTGTCAAATATCGGCATATCAGATTTCTGCAAAAACATTCCAATATTGTCTATCCCTAGTTTGCACCCATGATCTATGCTCTTAATCCATTTTGCATCAGCATCACGGTAAGGGTTCATCAACTTACTGGAGGACCTTTAGAGCAAATTTGAGCTGTGGGCTCCTACTGCCCCCTGTTTTTCTCACTATCTGTGAATTGTGTATGCATCTTATAACCTTAAAGTACCCTTCAGGTACACGCAGCAGCAAACAGCAGACTACGCATGGCAGCATTATGTCATTTTGCCCAGAGCTCTAGAAACCATTCTGTATTCCTATGCTGGATTAACACCAACCCCATGTTTGCTGTATGTCAATTAGTGCAATATAATAAGCACCAATGAAGCCCCACATCTAATAAAATAATAAAGAATATATAAATTCAAACTTGCGTTAAGGATCATGCATCCACTAACAATGACTCCAGGTATGGTTCTGGGTGGAGTGACTACATTCCAAACAAAATTTATTAAAATGCTATATTTATTTTAACAAGCTCATCTGTATTTTGACTTTAGAGTTCTACATTTTATTTTCCCCACTTCCCATAGTATGAACATATGTTATCCTGGATCTACCACTTGCTCAGAACTCTTGCTTGGCAGCTCTAGAGGAAGTTTTTCTACATGAGGCAGTAGATTCATGATCACAATGACATTTTGACTCATTCTCTAAACATAAAAATATATGGATTCTTTGAACCAGTACAAATCAAAGGGGAATTTAATCAGTTGGGAAATACTCTGTTAATTGTTCCCCCTTCCCCAACTCCAACCAGCAGACTTAAACCTTGTGCATGTTGGCTTTGATTGAATAGGTTTGATAATGGATGAGGAGTGCCAACCAACCACAATGAGTATGCATGAGACACATAAGGTATTGGGTCGTCAATTTTAACCGGGGTCCAAAGGAGAGATCTATAATCATTTCCTCCTCTCACTCACGCTAAGAACAGGCCTATGGGATGAAAATGCAATCGATGTCTCCCTATAAATGTACGTTGTAAAGGTGAGAGTGTGTGATTGCAATGATTTGTTTTACCTGTTTCAATTTATGAGAAAAAGGGGACAAGTGTTTTATCTTTCAGATGATGGGGAGGGATTGTGATAGAAGTTATATCAGACAGCCAGAGACGGTAAAAGACAGAAAGATCAGGAGAGAAATGGACAGAGTGATAAGAGTAGTAGATGGCTGAAGGGAAGGAAAAATAAAGTTAAAAACAAAGAGAAAAATGAGGAAAAATCATCCTCTGGGGCAAGGAAACAGAGAACGGAAAATAAGCAGATATAGGTTTGTAAAGAGAAAAACATATTTACAAGGAAGAGGTTGAAGCTAGAGACACAGCAAGAAGGTAAAAGACAGAAGGACATCATTCCAAAGACAGCTAGTACATTCCTGTGGTGGTATCCCACACCTTCCCCCTTCTATGCCACATTCTTTTTAACCTCCTTCTCTCCTCCTCCCCTCAATGTGCCATCTCTGCCATCTCCACAGTCTGTCTCCTGGGGCTTATTTCCAGTCTTTTCACCAGCACTGGCTTGGAACTAATCCCCTTCCTCAATGCCCTTCTCTTTTCTCATTCCACCCCTCCCTCCCTCTTTCCCTGATGCCATTAGACTGCTTTATTTATATTTCTTTATTCTCCTCTAAAAGTAACGGGAAGCTAGCATAGGTTTGGAGGGCAAAGATTAGAGGTTGCGGGGGTACAAGACTATGTGTTTGACTATATGTAAAAGAGGGAGACCCAAGGAAAGGATGGTAATGGAGCGTACATGGAAGGAAGGAAGTAGGGGTAGTGTTTAGGGCTGCAAATTCTAATTGATATTAATGATCAATTGCTATAATTTTTGATTACACTGTATCCTGACTGGATGTGATGCAAGGGAGCAGCATCAGCGACTAAATCTGTTTGATTGCATTGTTTACTAGTGGGAAATCCTAACTGTCCGTGAGTGATGCAGCGCAATACGGCATGCAGCTTTGAGCTTAGCTTTTGTTGGACACCCAATTTCTATTTCATTCCTGACGCTTGCGTGTAACAGGCTGCTCTCACAATATATATATATATTGTGA